AGACTGTGGTTCAGGAGGGGGGGATGAATCCGGGAACTTGAACGACAACCGTCAGTTTGGTGGACTCAGAAAAACCTCTCCCGAAGATCAGCCAATTCTTGAATACCAGCGTAAGCCTCCCTTTATGAATGATGCAGTTGACATCAGGGATGATCTGTAATTAGAGGTATCTGGACCCTACAGTGCGAGACCGACGTCATGAAGCAGACACCCATAATCAGAGTCCTGCCAAAAAACTTCTAGAGCACCACAGAAGTCAAGGCCCAGGTGAGGCACGAAGAGGTCAAAGCCCAGGTCAGACATGAAGAGGTAAAGGCCCAAGTGAGGAAGGTACATGTCAAAGCTTAGGTCAGGCAGGTAGATGTCAACGTCTACCTGCCAAGATGAGAGGGTAGATGGAATGGCCTAGAAGAGGAAGGTAGAGGCTATGTTCCAGATGAGGCAGTAAGAGGTCAAGGTCTTGGTGTAGTAGGTAGTGGTCGTCAAGGCCCAGTGAGGCAGGTACAGATCTAGGCCCAGTTGAGGCAGGTACAGATCTAGAACCAGTGAGGCAGGTACAGAACTAGAACCAGTAAGGCAGGTGCAGATCTAGGCCCAGTGGGTAGGTACAGATCTTGGCCCAGTGAGGTAGGCTCAGATCTAGGCTCAGTGAGGCAGGTACAGACCTAGGTCCAGTGAGGCAGGTACAGATCTAGGCCCAGTGAAGCAGGCACAGATCTAGGCCCAGTGAGGCAGGTACAGATCTAGGCCCAGTGAGGCAGGTACAGATCTAGGCCCAGTGAGGCAGGTACAGATCTAGGCCCAATGAGGCAGGTACAGATCTAAGCCCAGTGAAGCAGGCACAGATCTAGGCCCAGTGAGGTAGGCTCAGATCTAGGCCCAGTGAGGCAGGTACAGATCTAGGCCCAGTGAGGCAGGTACAGATCTAGGTCCATTGAAGCAGGTACAGATCTAGGCCCAATGAGGCAGGTACAGATCTAAGCCCAGTGAGGCAGGCACAGATCTAGGCCCAGTGAGGTAGGCTCAGATCTAGGCCCAGTTAGGCAGGTACAGATCTAGACCCAGTGAGGCAGGTACAAATCTAGACCCAGTGTGGCAGGTACAGATCTAGGCCCAGTGGGCAGGTACAGATCTAGGCCCAGTGGGCAGGTACAGATCTAGGCCCAGTGGGCAGGTACAGATCTAGGCCCAGTGAAGCAGGTACAGATCTAGGCCCAGTGGGCAGGTACAGATCTAGACCCAGTGAGGAAGGTACAGATCTAGGGCCAGTGAGGCAGGTATAGATCTAGGTCCAGTGAGACAGGTACAGATCTAGGCCCAGTGAGGCAGGTACAGATCTAGGCCCAGTGAGGCAGGTACAGATCTAGGCCCAGTGAGGCAGGTACAGATCAAGGCCCAGTGAGGTAGGTACAGTTCTAGGCCCAGTGAGGCAGATAGAGGTCAATGCCATTTCAATGTGGCATTTCTGTATATAAAAGGTTATTATTTTCTTGCGGTGCAGCTGGAGGTATAAGTTCAAAAGGTTGAAAGTAGAATAGTGGTCAATGATGGAATTATTGCAATTCTTTGTAAATCTCAAAATCAGCAGCTTTAACAAAATTATAGATTTGTTTTCAATGCGTTTATATCATAAGTCTTCCCCACTATGTTATTTATATTGAATTTACGGTGTGGAAAATCTTAACTGCAGCAATTTATGCTCGCTTTGACATGATATCAAATGCACAGGTAAAGAAATGCATAAATATGACGGTGTATATGTCCGAGATGTCTGCAGGTGTTTAACCTTAAATATGGCATCAACCATGAGCCATTCAAATGTCTCGAGTGAGCACCATTGTATATTTAATGTGGTAGTCACCACCACTCCAGCTAGGCCAGCTATATAGCAATCGTCAGCGCTTGAGGAAGGCGAGTCAGACCATTGTCAGTCCTCAAAGTGACCGTCTGATGCTTGTCGCAGTCACACCACGTGCCCAAGTCCAGGTGACCCGGTGAGGAGAGATGAGAGGTTACACCACGTGCCCAAGTCCAGGTGACCCGGTGAGGAGAGATGAGAGGTCACACCACGTGCCCACGTTCAGGTGACCCGGTGAGGAGAGATGAGAGGACACACCACGTGCCCACGTTCAGGTGACCCGGTAAGAAGAGACGAGAGGTCACACCACGTGCCCACGTCCAGGTGACCTGGTGAGATGAAACGAGAGGTCACACCACGTGTCCAAGTCATGGTGACCTGGTGAGGTGAGACGAGAGGTCACACTACGTGTCCACGTCCAGGTGACCTGGGTAGGTGGACCTGGACATAAGCGAGGCATTATAAATAAAAAGGTCAAGACCAGCAACCAACAACCAGTTAACACATATTTCCATACCAACCCATTCCAAGACCCCGAACCAAAACAGAGTCATTAGTAGCAAGAACATAGACTGCTTATGTTAATGCATGTAATAGTCCATTAATATCAACAATGTTTCATCCATTTGTTCATCTCAATCACGTCCTGTACCACCTCACCTCAAGCGAATATAAGCCTTTGCAAAAGAATATTATATTTTTCTTTGAAAACTTAAGGAGTGCCTTGCAAAATGCATCCCTAGGAGTCTGACTATATTAATTGTGTATATAAATACCCCGAAATTTCCATCTCTTTAAATGTCTGAGAGGTGTAGTGGGTTAAAGGGGTACCAGCTATGCCAGGTGTTGTGTAGCATCTGTACTGGCTAGGGTTCAAGTCTACTGGTGGGAGTTGTCCAAAGTTGTTTAACTTCAAACTTGCGTGTTTAAGCAAGTTAGTGCATATACATATATATATATATATATATATATATATATATATATATATATATATATATATATATATATGTCGTACCTAATAGCCAGAACGCACTTATCGGCCTACTATTCAAGGCCCGGTTTGCCTAATAAGCCAAGTTTTCCTGAATTAATATATTTTCTCAAATTTTTTTCTTATGAAATGATGAAGCTACCCATTTCATTATGTATGAGGTCATTTATTTTTTATTGGAGTTAAAATTAACGTAGATATATGACCGAACCTAACCAACCCTACCTAACCTAACCTATCTTTATAGGTTAGATTAGGTTAGGTAGCCAAAAAAGTTAGGTTAGGTTAGGTTAGGAAGGTTAGGTAGTCGAAAAACAATTAATTCATGAAAACTTGGCTTATTAGGCAAATTGGGCCTTGCATAGTAGGCTGAGAAGTGAGTTCTGGCTACTAGGTACGACATATATATATATATATATATATATATATATATATATATATATATATATATATATATATATATATATATATATATATATATATATATATATATATTAGCCCTGTTGCTTATGCATCGTTAAACGCCTGGAAAGAGATGTTGTTGTCTTGCATATATACTGTTTTTTTTAGGCTTACAGTCCCCAAGAGGGCATTTGAAGGCATAGACGAAGTTGGTCTCTTTTAAAGCGTTCTGCTTTGTGTCTGGAGAGTTTCTCATGAGTAGGCTGGCCGTTTTTCTGGTTTTATAGTAAATCGTCAGTTGTATCTTCTGATTTTTGTCTGTAGGGATAACGTTTCTACTGACAATATCTTTCAGGACCCTTTCCTCCGTTTTATGGGCTGTGGAAAAGAAGTTCCTGTAAAATAGTCTAATAGGGGTATAGGTGTTGTGTAAGTTGTCTCTTCAGAGGTTGCATGGCGTTTCACTTTCCTTCTTATGATGTCTTCCACGAAACCATTGGAGAAGCCGTTGTTGACTAGGACCTGCCTTACCCTACAGAGTTCTTCGTCGACTTGCTTCCATTCTGAGCTGTGGCTGAGGGCACGGTCGACATAAGCGTTAACAACACTCCTCTTTTACCTGTCTGGGCAGTCACTGTTGGCATTCAGGCACATTCCTATATTTGTTTCCTTAGTGTAGACTGCTGTGTGGAAAACTCCGCTCCTTTCCATGACTGTTACATCTAGAAAGGGCAGCTTCCCATCCTTCTCCATCTCGTAAGTGAAACGCAACACAGAATTCTGCTCAAATGCCTCCTTCAGCTCCTGCAGATGTCTGACATCAGGTACCTGTGTAAAAATGTCGTCAACATACCTGCAGTATATGGCCGGTTTCAAGTTCATGTCGACTAAGACTTTTTGCTCGATGGTACCCATGTAGAAGTTTGCAAACAGGACACCTAGGGGAGAACCCATGGCGACCCCATCTACTTGCTTATACATGTGTCCATCCGGGCTCAAGAAGGGTGCCTCTTTAGTACAAGCTTGGAGTAGTTTCCTTAGACTGCTTTCTGGTATGTCAAGAGGAGTACAGGCCGGATCACGGTACACTCTGTCGGCTATCATCCCGATTGTATCATCCACAGGTACGTTGGTAAACAGAGATTCTACGTCCAACGAGGCTCTTATCCCTGTGGCCCGTGTTCCCCGCAGCAAGTCAACAAATTCCTTTGGAGTTTTGAAATCAAAGTCAAATTTTCCTTTGACTTGCTGCGGGGAACACGGGCAAGTTACCGAAAATCATAGTGAAAGAAATTCAAGTAAGTGATGAAGGACATATTTTCTACGTTCCTTCATACTCGGGAACATCTTCAGGTCAGGATTCAATATTCAGAGTGCACATTTTTCTTAATATACTTGTGAGAGAGGAGAAGTTGTGGTGGGGTATAGTGAAGTAGTTAGTAATCACACACAGGTAAGGAAAATAGAAGAATAATGGGGATGGAAGCCAATCAAATACTGGGTAATGTGGTGGGTGCGGAAAACTGGGTAGAGGTGTTGTTATCAGGTGGTGTCTAGTGAGGTCTGGATGTGAGCGTCGGACCATAACCTATACTGCCATTATAGAACAATGTGTGTGTTTACGGGGTGACTTCAGAGTCGATATATGTCCTAGCTGTGGTAGCATAATGTATCTCAGACAAATTAGAATGCTAATATGAGTTATATGTGTCATGACTAATTTGTATAATCGTAACGCGAGTGTCGTAAATGTGGTATTATGTTAGTGTAGATGTTACAGAAGTTATGTGGAGGATTGTCATTGTGCTGATGAAACCGCCCCTTGGAGCGGATGCTGCACCAATGGGCTGGAACTCTACAGGATGTGAAGTAACAAGAGCTGTGGCCACAGGGCCAACAGCAGCAACAGTGCCAAAACCATTAACGGAAACTGAAGGAGAGTTATCGTTGAGGGTAGAACAACCCGGACTGAGAGAGCACGCCAACTACAGCACTCTCATCAAAATAGCTGCAGAAACGGTGAGTATTTGAAAAAAAACAATTAATATTAATATATACTGAGACCCGGAGACTGTGGGACATTTGGGGCTTGACTCTATTTATTTAATTAATAATGTAATGAAATTAATTACGAAGGACCACCCGCTTTTATAGTAAAGAGGGAAACTAATAAAATGTGATCATTAGAAAATTCCTAGAAGAACCAGTAACTATGGATAAATACTAGAGAATATAATCACTTGTATAATTAATGGGCTGTATATAATTTAACTGAAACAAAGCCTCAAACACCTACATTGGGGGGTTATTACTAGAACTTCATATATGTCTAGGAACTAGTGTGGTTCGTACACCAGTTCATTATGCAATAACCTAATCCTATGACCTATTATAGAATCAATAAAACAATCACCAATAAGAACATAGATTATGAATATGAGAAATTAATGATTATAATAAACACATGTTAATCCAGAAAACAGTGATCCGCAAGAATAATATACTACAGATAATGTAATTCAAGGAATACGGAAAAAGGTCTTAGCTTGAAGACGTTTTCCAAGACATCGGTTATGACTCATCCTCGGAATCTCCTGAACTCATCATGGAACACTGGGAGATGATTAACACGGGAAATGACAGCTCGGGGAATTCTTCACACAAGCTGCAAATCAAAATGTATTCAGTAGCAACATATTAGGCTACTTAATATCTATGTTCATGAAATTAAATGGAGAGAGGAAACAGATATTAACCTGTGGTTTTTTATAGTCGCTCGGCGTAACGACAAGCTACCCAGCTATAACCCCTCCAAAATGATGCATCAAATGGGAATAAAGGTACTTAGCTAATAGGGCACTGTGTAAGTTAAGGCTTGCCGAAGTTCGCGTCCTAGGTTCTGGCGTCGTAATAACGGACACGTGGTGTCGAGCCTAGCCTAGATGTTGACGCGCTTCTCTGGCCGGTCACGTTGGGCTACACGGAACAAATTAACAGTTTCCCGTGACACTGACACCAGCTAAGTTGCTATATTCTGCAACTAATCTTCACACCTCACAATGGCGACTTTCTTCCCTCGTGGACGCCTACACGCACTCTCGATGGCGTCCTCTCCAGTAAGGCGTCTCCTCGGGTCGGAGCGTCTCGTGGTAAGCCCGCTTGGGTAATGGCGTCTCCTCTTTCCCCCCGCTCTGCGTCCCGCATTTGATACACAAATTATTTTCTACGAATAATATCATTTCTCGCAGTTGCGATTGAAATGCTCGGATAAGGACGGATTTATTATTCAGAGGAGTTAAATATTATTATTTGCTCGTTTTACGATGGTAAACAAGCAATGGAGATTAATTAAAGTCTCACCAGGGCATTCACGTGTGACGTTAAATTTATTACCAGATAACAGTTATAACTATAAATGCTCTATTTGGCATTAGTTGGGAATCAGTTTATCTGTAAATAATTATCACACAGAACACCGTTGTTTTATAGAGAATCAAACTCAATTCTCAGACACACTGGATATAGATGTGTTTATTATAATGGAATCTGACGCAATACTGGCGTCTGGTGACGTAAGAATTCTAGCCTTATTGTACAGATGTAATTATTAGTACATGTGAACTCTACGTTTGGTTAATTTTAATTACTACAGTGAATAGTAGATTTAGTAATAATTAATACTAATACAACAGTGTTGTATTATTGTTGGAAATTTCCAACATAACTCCGGGGGGAGATTTATCGGGTCGCAGTATAATGTGGAGTACTGACACACCCATCCCGAAGTTGGTATTAATATTAGTATATTAGTATGTTAGTATGTTAGTACACACACATAATGAATGTCCCGTATTTGTCAAGGACATACAAGAAACTTAAGTCTTGCTGATTTCATGTTAAATGGATCATGTTATTAAGAATTACCTAAAGTTGATAAATAAGAAAGCTTACAATAGACTCTAGGACTGGTGTCGCTATGACATGTAATGTGTATGTTACAAAGTCTCAAAGTCTGCAAACTCTCAGATACTCTAGATAAATAATGTTATTTATAGCCTATACAACAATTAAAGATTTAAATTACACAATTCAAATAACTGAGAATCTACTGTGATGAGAATGTCTTGGGTCATAGTGACTTGTAATGGTTTGTTACTTGACACCACACCACAGTATCATCATGGTTGCTTAAATTGGATGTAAAGGGATTTACTCTTGGTCAGAGCTGTAATAGGTTTGTAGTCTCCGCTTACATTGTTGAGCAGCAGCTCTAGTGGGGCGGTTGCTCAGAGGAACAGAATTACTGTCCTCGGAAACTACTGGAGAAACTGGTTCTGGTTGATACTCTCGCTCAGCCAATTCGAGAGGAACCAACTTCTCTAAAGTTTTTAGAGTAGTGTTGCCTCGGCATAAAACTTTCACTACTCTCAGGACACCTTGATGATCTGGGTGAATGGCAACAATTTTGCCTATGGGCCACTCTGACCTTGGTCCATCACTGTCGACTAGTACTAGGTCCCCTGGTTTAAGTTGCACTTTATTATAAGGACTCGAAGCTCCGTAGTGGTACTCTCGTAGAGCTGTGAGGTACTCTCGAGTCCACACCTCATTCCACCTGTTAATAACCCTTGAGAGATGCTGGTAGCTTTCCACCAAGTCACCTCTGGTTACATGTGACGGATCTACGGGGTCCCCTTCGGTTAAAGGGATGAGAGGGCTCAGTAGACCTCCATGTATCAAGTGTGAGGGACTCAGAGGTTCTCTCTGGGAGAAATCATCAGACAGGTATGTTAATGGGCGGTTATTGACTCGCGCCTCGATTTCCACAACAATGGTTTGGAGCTCGGAGTAACTGACCTTTTGTCTGTGTAAGGTTTTTCTTAAACACTTCTTGACTGTGCCTATCATTCGCTCATAGAACCCACCTTGCCAAGGGGCTCTTGGTGCTATAAATTTCCAGTGACATTGTCGTCTCTGCAGGACTGACTGTACTTCTGGATGATTCCAGACTTCTCGCAGACAGGCTTCTCCTGCCACAAAATTGGAACCATTGTCCGATATCATTAGTTTGGGACAAGATCTGCGAGCTGCAAATCTGCGGAAGGCCTGGATGAAGGCTTCAGCACTCATATCTGAAGTCACTTCTAAATGTACGCCTCTGGTTGTAGCACACGTAAAGAGACAAATGTATGCTTTCACTGGTATCTTGTCTGGGTTGCCAGTGAGAAGTAAGGCTCCTGTGTAATCAACACCAGTGGTTTCAAAAGGACGAAGATCAACCACTCTTTCTTCAGGGAGTGGTGGAGGTCCTGGTTAAGGCCATAGTCTAGCATCGTATCTTTTACAGATTACACAGAATTTAATTATTGACTTGACTGTCTGACAACCTTGAGGAAGCCAGTACTTCTGTCTAAGGTCGGTGAGAGTATCTAACACTCCACCATGTAAAGTACCATATTGATGGTGATGTAAAACTAGAAGTTTAGTGATGATGTGGTGACGTGGTAGAAGAATTGGACTCTTTGTGTCCAGATCAATTTTTGCATGAAGCAAACGTCCTCCACATCTTAGTATATTATGAGTGTTGGCATCATACCAGATACCTAGAGACTTAGTTAATTTATCTGGAAGATTTTCATATTCGCTTCCATATATCTCTTGTTGTGCACGTTTGATCCAGTAGAGGATAGGATTGGGAAACTTATGTCGAATTCCTATCTTAGCAAGAAAGTCAAACACATGTGCAGTCACTCTTAATAACTTACTTAAGTTAGAATAATTGTGAGGATCAATGGCTAAGATTCGTTGAGATTCTGGTTCTTTCATGGGAGTGGTGATATTGGTCACTATGACTTGTGGCTTTTGTTTGAACCACTGACCACCAACAAGCCATGAAGGTCCATTGAACCACAGCGAAGTCTTGATGAGTTGTTTTAGTGTTAATCCTCGAGATAAATAATCTGCAGGATTGTCCTTAGTAGGAACATGTCTGAATTTATATCCAACAGATAACTCATGAATTTCCCTAACACGATTACTGACGTAGGGAGTCTTGTTGTTGTTGTTTCTTACCCATTGTAAGACTGCCTCGTTGTCTGACCACACGACAATCTCACCAAAGTGGATATTATTGAGTGTCTTTGTCAGGCAATGAGCCAATCTCACTCCCACCAGCAATGCAGTCAACTCCATTTGAGGTAAAGATCTCTTCTTAATGGGAGCAACTCTTGCTTTAGATGTGAGCAAAATTGATTGTGCACTATTAACTAAGTAGGCTACAGCACCACATGCTTTGCCAGAGGCATCGCAGAAAACATGCAAATAGGTGGGCAGGTTTGGTCCTGAAGCATTACGAGGAAATTTCAAAACACCTAACTGATTAAAATCCGTTGAGAGTATCTGCCATTTAGCTTGTAACTCACTTGGTAACGGATCATCCCATCCCATATGTTTCTGCCAGCACTCCTGCATTAGGAGTTTGCCCCTTATTAATATAGGACTAAGTAAGCCTAAAGGGTCAAATGGTTGACTGACAAATGAGAGCAATGTTCTCATGGTAAGGGTTGAGTTATCGGTTTGTACTGACTTGACATTCATCTCGTCAGTACTTGTGTTCCATTCCACGCCTACAACCTTTAATTGATCAGGTACCTGATAACCTGGAAATTCTTTCTCGATTACCTGGTTTAATGATTCATTATTTGAGGCCCATGACTGTAGTGGCATATTGGCTCCTAATAGCTCACGGTTAGCCTCATGGTAGATTTCTACCAAATTGGTTTGGTCATTAGTTGTTCCCTGGAAATTGTCGACATACAAGTTGTCGCTAATGTCTGCTTTATAAGGGCTATTTGACTTCCTCAAATGTGTGTCTAATGTTGCTTGCAAAAGAAACGGTGAGGACGAAGCTCCGAATAATACTGAGGCAAAACGATATGTGATGATATCACTGTTAGGATCCAGTGGATCCTTAATCCAGAGAAACTTTGTGTAGTTACGATCTTCCTCCTGCAAACCTA